CCCCCCCCCCCCCTCCCAAAAAAAAAAAAATACCGGCAGAAAGCAATGATAGTTAAGAAGGTGTGAAGAGAGAGAAATGAGGTTGAGTTAAAACCAAAGAGACAAAGCCAGCAGCAAATTCTCCTTGGCATTAGCTGATGCCCAACCAAGTTAACATCAAGATGCATGGAGAACACCATTCAGACAGTCATTTTACACTTCCCACCTTGAATGCCATCAGCAGAATTTACTTCTCTATTTAACTATGAGGCATTTGTATATCATACATAGTAACAATTAAAAAGTAAATAAACAAGGGGCATGGATGACATCTTTCTGTCGAATTAAACATATTCACCTGAAATGCCAAGTTACTATATGGGAGCAATTTACATCACTTGCTCAAAATTGTAAAAGCATCTCTTCATAAGCGTAGGGGCGATAAAATCTCAAGCAGCCCAATCTTCATCGCTATCCTGAAACAAACAATTATGAAATGTATCAACAAGTGTGCTACACAAACTCAATATTCCTCAAAAAATATCATCACCATCATCATTCCCATCCTCAACTCTCTTTTTCTCCATATAATAGACGAAATTGATGACAACAATCATGTTTAATATGACGATGTGACCAATGGTACTCCTTAGCTTGTGAAGACTTTGTCTTCTTGAAGTCAAAGGTTCAAGTCCCCCTCTCCCTCCCCTTCCCTAGAAAAATTTAAAAAAAAAAAAAAATATGACGATGCATTCACAATTGGTGATCCATGCATCAAACTGATAAGAACCAAAAAACACACTCGATATTCAGCCCAAAGGCTGAGAATGGCTTACATCAACTGTTCCTTAAAAGAACATCACCATCATTGCCCTCGAGAAATTGCTTTTCTCATGATGACAAAATTAGATATGGCAATCATGCTTCAAATGAAGCATTCAATCATTGTTTCTAATTGTAACAATGATCTAATCGATGTTAGAATAATCACTTTCACGATATCAAAATTGTTAGAATACGTAAATTGCATATTAGCTGGATATCAGACCTCTGCTGGACTTGAGAACTCTTCAATGTCATCATCTTCAACCTACAGAATTTACCAAAAATGTTAAATGCTTGTTAAGATTAAGAATTGCAATGGCACAACTTTAGCATTAATTAGCAAGATGTATTGAACCATGAGCACCCATTCAAAGCATGCTTCACCTGTACAGATCCAAGTAAACTTCTGAGTAAATTTTTTTCCCGACGAGCTTCTTAAAGGAAGAACATTACCCAACTAAAAATTGGTTAGCTTCACCAAAGATATTTCAGTCACTGCTAGCACACAACAGATTGCCTGAATATTCTGGTTTCAATTTGAAGAGAATAATAGATTGACAATTGTGCTTTTGTATGGATTGAAGGTATCAAGTTTGGCACTGTCACCTTCCCCGGGAAAAAAAAATCTTTAGCACTGTCATTGTGCCTGCTTTGTATAAAAAAGAAACTCATGGCAAAACATGGTGAAGTTTTTCAGATATTCTCTGTTGATGGTGGGTAGCTGACAGGAAAAGATGCAGCATGGAGCCAAGATAAAGAGGAAATTGGACTGAGGGTGAGGCAAGACAACCCAAGAAAAGGCTAGGAGGCACCAACACTCCTATCACAAGGGCGACCTCACCTCCCAACTATCACTTTGACACTATGAAGCAAGAATACTTCGTCAAAGTCGACATACCCTTATCGGATACAATACTCATTGGATACTTTAAGATACGCATTATACGTATCCAATAATTAATAAAATATGTGGATACTTCGTCACATAGAGCAAGATGTACAATTTTTAATTTTAATCTATAACATTTCCTTTCAAGTTTACATACAATGCAAAATATCAACAAAATTCAATTGAACTTTGAAAACGCAAGTATTTTTTAAGTATTTATCTACTATAACATATTAACATGTCAAAAGATTATAAAAAAATGAGTTAGTTATACTATAACCTTAGAAACAAATAAAGCAAATCAACTAGTTAAATGTCGGTTGTAATTCCTTTAATTGATCATGTTCATTTTATAGATATATCATAATAAGACGATATTAAACTTTTTTCAATCTAAAAATTGTTAATTTTGTTTACTATTGTTAAAGAATTACTAAAAATTATAATTTTATAGTTGTTCAATAATGGTAAAATATAAAATATTTTTTATTATAAACGTATTCCAATCATACCCGTATCCTATTTTTTTACGTATTGCATTGACATATCTGTATCGTATCATACATATACCCCATATATGTATCCGTGTTTCCTAACAGTTTGGCATTACTCCATTACATCCCACAGCTCCCTCATCCAACATCACTTGATCACACATTTTTTTTCGATAAGATAAAGTAACCTTATACATGAATTTTGAATCTTCATTGTCCAAAAAGATTTGAAATTGTGTGAGACTAACCTAAAGCAAGGAATATTGTGCAATGACAAGTCCAGGACTTCTAGTTAGTAGCTTGGGGCACAATGATATTGCAGCTAACATGTGGGAGCCATCCTCTGGAATCCCACAATTCTGGATGCCAAATGTGTAACGAAGTAATAAGTGCCTCTTGATCTAAACAGTTAAGACCTGTTTTAAAGTCGTGAACCAATTGAGTTGAGCACACAATATCTTTTGTAATTGGATTGGATTGCCACTTTTGTTATCAAAGCTAGCATAAATCAGAAGTGTAGGGACTATGACTGTTAGGTTCTCCGCAAATTTCATTATAAATTCAAGCTTTGTAGGCATTTCCTTTCATTTGTTAACCCCTTTAACTCTCCCATTTTCTTCAAATTCAGGGAGAAGATAAATTCATCATTTGTCCATTCGAAGAAAACACACATTCACCACACTTTATGAGTGCTCGATGCATCAATTCTGCATATTGCTCACTAGTTTGTCTGCCCACTTCTAAAGCCTATTCCAGCAAACGACAATATAAAACCATTATAGGACACCCTACACATTCTAGCTGTCCAACTTTGGTGTGGATATTAAGAAGGTCAATCCTTACAATATTTTACTTTACCTACAAAGCAAGTGTTGAAGATGCAAGAGGAGTAAGAACACACTCAACATGACTTCAATAAAAATGGTCAGAACCAATGCACAAGCGGTATTTCAGAGTCTGAGAGAGACAAGTAGTAGACAACCTTACTCCCATTTTTTGAGAGGCTAAATACTGAGCTCCACCCCACAATTTATCACTCGAGCAGACATGCACTTTCAACCACTCAGCACGAACTCAATCACTGAGAATACTGTACATCAGACGTGCACGCTATTATTGTTAATGTTGTCTAACTGTCTTCTACACTCGAGCTCGATTGATATATATGGGTGAAATTGTACTGCTTATTACAGAAAACCCAACCACTGAATAACCAATGTATACTAGTTACTTAACAAATCAAATCATAACAATAACAAATCAAACAATAGATAGCACCAAAACCAGGAATACATGTTCTGCGCATGAGATAGAGTGAGTCCAAAATATTGCAACTACAGGAGCACAATTAATTTATTGGGGGGACTAACAAGAAATATCATGCTACTCATCAACCAAAGGATACAATTGACCACCCTCGATATCCATTGTATTAATCATATTAGGTGCAAAAAAGTCAAGAAGACATCCTTCCTAACCATTAGCGAGATGAGATAGCAAACTGTGTAAGATCCATGGAATTCTTCAAATATTAGTACCGGCTACATCAACAAGTTTAAAGGAAAAGGTTTCATACAAGCCTTAAACTCTGGGATCAAATTTGGAATGTGAGCAA